TATCAGGCGATGAAATAATAATAATAACGATATTCCACGTAACAGTCAAAAAAAGGTGATTAATAAATGTATTATGAAAGAAAAATACGTACGGGAGTCCTTCGTCAAATATTATCGCAACAAAAAATATGATATGAAACAAAACTCACCACAACATTACTCGATAGCGGCGATTCAGCGTCCTGAGAATCTGTAAACAAATAGAAAAACCGTTGTAAAATAAATGTGCTATTAAACAGCAAAAAATATTGCAATTTTACATCACCAAAATACGACACATACTTTCGCCAATTATCGTTACTCTATGTCTCACAATCTTTATCAAGATATATATATTCATACTCCTCTGATATAAATCTGATTTACAAATGACCGCGCGACGAAAGATTGCTGTTAAGTTAATTATCTTAACACTCCACAATATTGCCGATTCAATCTAACATAAATTCGGATCAAGTCGAATTAAAAATTAATTATGCCTCTCGTTGTCTAATTCCGAACACATTGCTAATGGTGGAGCATTTATCAAATCGCGATGACTGCAGCACAACGATTGAACGAACATATGTATAACGAGAGAGAATACCGAATAATTAATTATATGCTTACCATCCTCTGCATCCGGCATAACCCCGGAGACTGCTACCTCCAATAATCCAAAGGCACTTGTACTCACTGATACGCTTCGATCGGCAAGACAATCACTAACGCGCACGAACGAATTAACGATATTATAGTACAATACGATCATACGTTCAACATACGACGAGAAAAATACTTAACAAGATACACCGCGACATTTACACGACGTTTCACACGACGACGACAGTTGGTGCGGCGCGACCGATCAACACGACGTCTCGTACGACAATGCCGATAGTTGTGATCGCGCGTACACTTGTCTTCGACAAAAACAAGCGCCACAATCTATCTACCAAGTCCCGAAGGTCTGTAAACAAACAGAAAAAGCCTTGTGAAAAAAATGTATTATTAAACACACAGAAAATGAACGTTATCAAAGTACACAGATACATAGATTTTTTATCATCATTACCATTCGATTTTCGACAACTCTTATCAAAATGTATTCACGTCTCTAACATAATGTGTAAATGTCTGCGTAAAAGATTGTTAAGTTAATTATCTTCTATTTACTTAGCACTCTCCACAAGTCGAAATTTTTACTCAATGTTGAGCCTTAAATTCTACAACACAGTAGGAGCTAACAAGTAAACTTACCCAAAAGGTACACTCCGATTTCTTTCTAATTTGACACAAATGTAGAAGTACAAAAATTATTTAGGTCATATTTTTCATTTTGGCTCACTTTGAATTTATAGCTTTTTAATGTTCTCACTCCTATCATCAACAAGTGCAACAAAAATATATAAGAAATAAGATAGAATACAAGACATAGTTAAATAATTTTAACAAAATTGGCAAAGCTGAAATACGAACCATTCTAAATTTCTTTAGCCGAGATTCCAACTATTTTAAATCTGTATTAAATTAGTCAAAAATGGTTCGAATCTCGGTGTTAAAATAGGTGTTGAATAGTAAGGCTGAGAGTAAGATTAAAATTTCGACTCGAGAATATTGCCGCGACAATCGAACATAAATTCAGGTCAAGCGAATTAAAAATCAATTATGCTTTTTGTCATCTAATTCCGAACAGATGGCTAATAGTGGAGTATATTTATCAAGTCGCCATGACCGTAGCGTAACGATTGAACGAACATAACGTGAGAGAAAACTGAATAGTTAATTGTATGCTTACCATTCTCTGCATCAAGCATAACCCCGGCGACTGCTACCTCCAATAATCCAAGGCACTTGTGCTCATTGATATGATTCGATCGGGAAGACATAGCTAATTGCGAACGCGGGTAATTAACGGTGATACAATGCGATCGGCTTGCGACGAGTAGAAAAATACTTGACGAGGTACACGCGCAGCACGCCCGATCAACACGGCGTCTCGCACGACGATGCCGATAGTTGCGATCGCGCGCTTGTTTTCGACAAAAACTAGCGTGGTAAATACAGGCTATTGTCACGGCATTGACTTTGGCACCGACGCGACGCGCTCTACAGCGAGATATCGCATACCTATGTACGTACACAGTGTCATATGATTAACCGTAGCATCAGGCGGTGCTTTTATCTGATGTTATTAAACGTATTTGAAGTCAATGTGCTAATCTCTAACTGGAATTATAATTGTCGTGGCTCTCTCTCTTGTTACGCGAGATTATCTGGTTAATTTCCATCGCGAGTAACATTCGTCATGAATGAAATTCTGAAATTAAAGAAAACATTTCTCTATTCCTCTACCGAAGGTATCACTGACTTCTAATAGACGCTGAATATGCAATATGAAAATACGATTGTATCTTTTTCGACACATATAGAGTTAAAATTATGACGATAATAATCTTGCTCGTTCTACGTTCGACTGTATGCATACATGATTGATTAGAATGAAATTACACGTATACTAATTACGTTTGAGTCGACATACGATAAATAATAGATATCTCATTAGAAATGGATCAAAATATTGTAAAACATCTTCCCGATGTGTCTCACATGATTGTAGATTCTTATTCTTATTCATTCTTATTCATATTATACTAATTAGAGATTATTCTTGGTTACTTGCATATACATAATTTAATTTCAAATTTTTATATTCACTAAAAATTGTAAAATGAGAAGAAAGACTTCGTAAAACTTTACGTTAAAACCAAAATAAAAATACAAATATCAAGTTTAATATTAAATCTTTAATATATAATTCAAAATCTCTTGAGTGAATTTTCAAAAGGTTATCAGACAAATAAATTTCAAGTTGATATAAATTTCAAGTTATTAATGTAAATTGATAATATAATTTTAATAATATTAATCTACATATTCACTATTATACGCACTGTTGCATGTGTAAACCTGCGGTCAACAGGATGTAAAAAAAAGTCGCGCTGACACCTACAGGCATTCTATTCAAGATATGCGAATAGTCGATAACTGTAGAATCGTCGGTATCGCATCTTTTCATTGAGATAATTCGTAGTATATTTACCACTTAATTCGTACCTTTTACCGACGCGTGGTATTATCGACGCAGGAGTCAGTAGCATCAAATACACTGGGCTTATCATTCGCAGTTTAACACACTAACAGATTACAAACGCCGTTGAAAACTCGAAACCACGAACAAATTCCTATGCCAGCTTGGCGAGCTTGCCGAATACATAGTCGAGTTTTGGTTATGTTCACGAAGTATCTCACGTCCGACGGTTGTGATCATCATACGATGTTTTGACACGATAAACAAGAGATTTAACGTACATGAATCTAAACAGATAAGAACTTTAAGAGGATCCGCCGTTGACGAGCCAACAACAATCTGTACCTCGAACACAGCATCCCGCTGAGATGACCCACTGACACGTTATGAAAAGCTTGTCGTCGCAAATTACAGTCCCCGAGCACGAAAATCATCGTTCAGCACTTCGTTAGTATGCAAATAATGACGTCGCGACACCCTGACGTACGGCGGAATCGATTAAATCGCGCTCACGTATCGACACCGTACAGCACTGTTTCGCCATTACGAGAAAACTATCTCAAGCGATTCGTATTCAAACTAAACTTTTTGGCGCGATGTTTGCGCGCCACTTAATGCAGGATTCACACCGCATCCAACATACGACGATCCGACAACCAATAGGAAAATTCGTTCGCAGGAGCTTCTAGCTAGCGACATTTTTGTCTCTAGAAAACCGATTCTCTCATTGGTTATCAGATCGTCGTCGATATTGGATATCGTACGTTGAATGTCTACGCGCTGTGAATTCGCATAATCTTAATCGTACGTTTCACGCATCCGGCAAGCAACAATTGGCTTTCCTTTGTTTCTCCGCGAATAACGATAATACATAGAGTTTCAAATTGCAATAATTATCTTAATGAATATCGTCGTTACACTGTGTACAGCTGCGTAAAAGCCCGATGGGACAGAAAATTATACCGAGAAGCAAATTAATATAAGTTACATTATAGGAGTAGAAGTACGATAATTTCGACTTGATTGAAAGATCAAATTAAAGACGAATCGAGTGAAATCCGGCGTCGATCATGTTACACAACGCAAACTCCACTTATCTCTTCGGCGCGCAGTTACCGACTGACTGTAAGCGATGGAGCGAGCGACGGGCGAGTGGCTGGGGGGGAGGGGGCGAGCGGGCGTACACAATGAACTACATACGCGACACACGGGCTCGGTCCGCGAATTTACTACACCTTATACAACGCGTCCGATTATATCATGAATAATACGATATACACAGAAAGTGCCGAGTAATAGTAATATACTATCAAGTATATTGATGATACTATCAAATATATAATTTAACTTCATTATAATCGCCACTGTTTTTTCTACCTTTATTAACATCGTTATGTAATTATAGAAGAATGCAGATTAACTATACTGACTTGATTCTTTTATTGTCATTTTCGGATTGAAAATATCTTCGAAATGCATCCTTGCAACATGACGCCAAAATAATCAGGATCTCGCTCTCTCACCTTCCTCTTGTTTTATACGCAGCCCAAAATCGTATATTTACCAAGTATAAATCATAATATTCTAAATTAATAATACGTATATTATCATATTATTATGCAAAAGTCATAATACACATACGTCTTTGCACGTCGCTGATTTCGTTTATTTCTTTTCAGCATTTTCTGTTCGTGCTTTACAAAGAGCCGTTATGCCGACAAGTCAACTATGCGAAATAACTCACCGGTTTTATTTTGCGAGTTTACTACTGCGAGCTGCGTTGCATCCAATTGAATGTCGTCGTCCCGGACTTGGTTACGTTCTGATGCCACTTTAATTGTCAAGATAAATTAATTCACGATTAAAAGACAAGTCTACTGCACCTTTGTTTCGCTCAAGAAAAAAAGGAAGATTGCAATCAAATTCAAACCTTGCTTTCGGCGCGAACTGCAAGCGTTTATCGCATATTACGTCAAATCTGTAACCAATTACAAGTTTGTACTTTTTAAACAACATTTTCTACTCTTCCTACACTTAACCTTAGCTTGTTCGCGTTACTTGCACTTTTGACACTTTTACACCTATTCCCGTTGTACACTAGCCTCTCTATAAAAAGAGAGCTCTCATTGGTCTAGGGCGCAACAGGCATTAGGTGCAAAAATATCAAAAGTACAAGTAACGCGAACCTATTTTTTTTCTTATCCCCGTCATTCCTTATATATATATATATATATATATATATATATATATATATATATATATATGTGTGTGTGTGTGTGTGTGTGTCTTTCAAGGTATACATAATAAAGTTTATTATCTGCAAACATTTGTTTATACAAAAATATCACTATGTTATTTTCCCAGCTGTTTGTTTACACAATTACATTGCATTGTGACAGCCGCATTATAAGGAAAATTAATTAACAGTATGCTTCATTGTTAATTTCCAAATTTGATAATAACATTAAAAGTAATCATACTAATAAAAAATTATGTACAAAATGTGTGTATGTACGTGTACACTTTATATATTCTTATGTAATATATTCAATATACCACATATTAATAACAATTTAGAATATGTTACATTCTTTTTAACACTTGTTCTTTTCTATTTTGCAAAGTTTAAGCCTAAGTTTTTTTTACATACTTTCGTACTAAAATACTAAAATACGAAAAATATCACATTTTATCTTTATATTTTATATTCTATCGTTCATTATATATCGAAGAAAACCAGAAATGCTCTTAGTATGAAAGCATGCAAGATAAACTTAGCTTAAATGACTTAAGAGTTGCTTTCCAGCAAAAGATACAAATTGACACAAGTATCATCCTATCTTTGTTACTCACTAAATGTGGGACAAAGACAGAATGATGTTTGTGTCAACTCGTCTCTTGCTGAAAAGCAACCATAATGTTGCAGGATTTAAAAAAAATCCATCAAAAGTATTATTTTTATCACAAAAATTTATTTACTATTGAAAGGAAATGCAAAAGGAGTCTCGACAAGGCCACTGCGGGATAGGATATATTTGTCTAAGAGTTCACCAAGATATTCATAAGGATCATAAGGTCGACGTAGCAGGAGATTGCCAATCAGGAATTCGACAATGTCATAAATTCTCTTTTCTTTCAGATACAACAGCGCTTGCCGTTCTCGCTTTCCTGATGCACGCTGAAAAGCATCGGCGTTACGAAGAATATCGCGTGTTTCTCGTTGTTCTCCTAAATAAGAAAATGCAAATATTCGCAAGGGGATGAAACAATTTGACATTTTGTCTAATATCGTAACGGCAGGAGATGATCGTTGCCTTCACGAATACTTACGTATCGATTTTACAGTTTCGCTAGCTGTAAATTTTATCGTACAACCACTACTTTTGTTCATCTCGAGACTGATATTTGATTTTTGCTAATCAATTTATTCGGGCGAAACTAAGTAAATAAAGATGACGAAATGATCTACTATTCCGATGAATTGACGATACCAAGAATTGAAAACATTCGAACGATTAGTCAATACGCCATCTGTCTTATGCTCTTGTCTCCTATGATGTGGATCATTTTGTAGTTGCAACATAACCCTCTCGTCAATTTCAGTCATTGGTCATCATAGTGGTGTCGTCTTTCGTTCAGTAATATTGAGATGCTCCTTTATGAATTATTATAAATAAATTGTACATAAGGTAAAGATTTTTATATGTATATATATATATATATATTTATACAAATTGCTATTCATATATGAAATATTGAACATATATAAGAATATGAAGTGTACGCGTACATACACACAACTTTAGATTAGTTTGATTATTTTTAATGTTATTAACTAAGTTATCAAATTTTTTAATTAATAATTAAATATACTGTCAATTTTCCTTATAGTGTGGCCGTCACAATGCTGCTGAACAGAAGTGCATATGTATTTCGTCAGTGTTTGCAACGCAGACCATTTGCAGTTGGTGCATTAAACACTCCAGAATGTAGCAGAAACAAGTTTCAATATAAGCAGACTCGTGATTTCCGAAATTTTGGACACACTCCTAAAAAGAGTCCCATCTATTATTTCATACCGTATACACTTTGTGGGTTTTTTATGATAATCAACGTCTTTGACTGGCAACGGTTAGTAATATTGATTATCATAGAAAAGAACAAAAATATTAAATATTGTTGAATCTAAATATTTGGAATAGCAATCAGAGGATTGAATATCATAGTTACTATTATACATATGTATTATACTATTTCTACAGTTATTTAAACTTAATACCCATTGAGGATCCTGAAATAATGCCTAAAGTGGAAGCTGCTGAATTACCAGCTGCTGAATTAGAAGAAAACCAGGACAATGGAGACTTGGAAAATACAGAACATGATTTACAGAAGAAGAAAAAAAACAAGAAAGAGAAGATTGGATTTCGTGACAGAAAGGTTTATTAAATGTCCATATTCTTGATGTAATGTTACACAAGCTTTAAAATAAAAGAAGCAAGTCTCTTATTTTTTCATTATATATATGTTAACAATTTCTAAAATTATTTTACAAATATCACAATTGTTTCATTATTTATTGCACTAATTATTATATTATTTTGCAAAAGCTTTATTTATGTTATTGAAAGGTAAGACACATCTAGGTTTACTTTTACAACTTCTAGTCAAATATATAAAAATTAACGTTAGAATTATGCGGTAAAGTAAAGAAAGAAAAAAAAGATGTATAACAATAATAATAGGAAAAATATGATGTATAACAATAATTACTGTGTGACTGGACAAGATAGTATTGTTAATCTAATACCTTATCTCTTTAACACGTGCATCTGTACAGCAGGACGATGCAGGCTGAAGTATTTTTACAGATAATAGAGTACGAGAACAGAATCAGAGCATTTTCGACACCAGACAAAATATTTCGTTACTTTGCGACTGTCCAAGTAACTAGCTTAGAGGGTACCGAAACTTATATGACACCTGATGATTTTCTTCGAACTATTACACCTGGCATGCAACAGCCAAATGGTAGGGTTTCTATAACTCTTAACATGTCGAAATCAACACGGAGCATACCTTTTAAGGCTTTATGACCTTCTCTTGTTGACTCTGACAAAATCGCCTATCCTAAGACCTTCCCTTTTGACAATCGATTCACCTGCCTCGCTCTGCTAATTGTGATTCCGCAATCTTGCATAATACAAAAGATTCTCACATAAATAGGAAGCTGCTGCTTGTTAAAATTTATATCTAATCGCATTATTATAAACACTGATCTTCTGCAAGCTATATTTGTAATAAAAAAAAAGAACACTTACAGTGAAAGAGATAATTGTATTATATTAAATTATTATTATTTTTGTAAAATATCGTTTTTTTGTTTTATCATTTATGATACTTTGCACACTCTCAGCATCTGCAGTTGTCGATTAACTGTATATATGCTGCAGATAATAGAGTACGAAAATCGTATGAGACATTACTCAACACCGGACAAAGTATTCCGTTACTTCGCGACTCTCCAGGTCACGAGCAATGATGTGCACGAGGTGTTTATGACTCCGGATGACTTTTTGCGATCGATGACGCCCGGCGTTAAACAGCCCGACGGTAATCCTACGCTACTCCTTTCCTCATTTCTTACTTCAGATTAAATGTCACTCTATATGATACTTCCAATTGCTTTGCGAATATGCTCTGTGAAACATTACGATAAAATATAGCCTTCTTTTGCATGCGCAGATCTACTAACGTTCTCCAAGTTCCAACTTTATACCAATTAAATTATCAGCTTTGTGTATATGATCATGCAAGATATACTTAAGAAAAACAATATATAATGATAATAATTATAAAATTTACTTTCAGGTCTTGGGCTGGACCAGTATAGGCGTTACGATCCAAAGGTACATCAATTAGATTAGCAAAAGAAAAGTCATGAGCTCTCTTCACTTCTATAATAATGTTTTCTTTCTTGCTGCAGAATATCCACACAAAGTTAGAATTGGAATTGGACGAAGATAGTATTTTCTACAAACTGGGCAGTGCAGGCCTCATTACGTTCTCTGATTACATCTTCCTGCTGACTGTATTGTCAAGTGAGTTGTTTATTATTTGTTAAATTTCACAACTGTGCACGTTAGAAAACATGTGTGACTAAAACTACAAAATTGTCTAAAACTGGCACAGTGTACAAGCGTCCTCAGTATCACAAGAATCCAAATTTTCTCTTTAAATCTTAACTTTAAATCTGTTTTTGTGTAGCTTCCAGACGTCACTTCGAGATCGCCTTCAGAATGTTCGATTTTAACGGAGACGGTGATGTCGATTCTGAGGAGTTTGGAAAAGTGGCTACATTGATACGACAACAAACTAGTATTGGTACTCGACATCGAGATCACGCAACCACAGGCAATACGTTTAAGGTTACTATTTAGTTAAGATCAATGATTATGAAACTTGCGACGAATGTTAATCGCTCATAAACTTGAATTATACACTGGAATGCTTTAAGCATTATGTTTTATTTAATGATTAAAAGCTTATCTCTCATTCTCAAAATTTCAATTTTAGGGAGTGAATTCTGCGTTAACGACATACTTCTTTGGACCACAAATGAATCAGAAATTAACGATCGAAAAATTCCTGGATTTCCAGCAGCAATTGCAACGGGAGATCTTAAGTTTGGAGGTATAACAAATGATTTCCACGTTTCCATTACACATTTCCATATTATTTTTTTTTATGTAGTTTGAACGACGAAATCCGGACGAGTATGGAAATATTACCGAAGTGGATTTCACGGAATTGTTATTGGCTTATGCCGGATATCCAGCTAAGAAGAAGGCCAAGATGCTGAAGAGAGTGAAGAAAATGTGAGTGCGGATATACAGAGTCAATTATATTTGAGAAACTAAGATTTCACATTATTGCATACTTGAATATTAATGTTTATAGGTTTAAAGAAAATCCAAAAGGTATCAGCAAAGAGGAGTATCTAAAGTTCTTCCATTTCCTCAATAATATTAATGATGTGGATACAGCATTGACGTTCTATCATATAGCTGGTGCATCTATCGATCAAGGTATTGATATTTAATTACTAAAAGAGAATTTATATTAAAAATAATGAAGTTAAAATATTAAACAGGCGATTGAATGTTTTTTTATTTGTATATTTGTGTATATATATATATATATATATATATATATATATATATATGTATATAATGTATTGTATACAATATCTTTCTGTTACAGCAACATTGAAACACGTAGCGAAAACTGTTGCACATGTCGATCTAAATGATCATATCATCCAAGTGGTATACACGATTTTCGACGAAAACAGTAAGTTGTTCTTTCTTAGTAGATTGTTACATAGTGCAATTTATAATTAATAAGCTACTGTAAAATATAATGTTCTGCCTTCTTGTAAATTCTCAACATATTTTTTTGCAATATTATAAACATGAAAAGTGTATTTTATAATATTAAAATAATATCTAATTCTAATTTTGTTTCTTATAGTGGATGGGCAACTTAGCAATCGAGAATTTGTAGCAGTGATGAAGAATCGTGTCCTTCGTGGCTTAGAGAAACCAAAAGATACTGGATTTGTCAAATTAATTCAATCTTTGATGAAGTGTGCAAAATATAGTAATCTCTTGTCATTCGATAAATAATTGAAGATATAAACAAAACTAAAATGCTGCTTAATTTATGTTTAAGAGTTTCTGTATTTTGTTGTGTTGATAGTAATTTATATAGAAAAAAAAATGTTACTCTCTATATAGAAAAAGATCTCTATATAGAAAAAATGTTACTTTATACAGAAAAAGAAATAAAATGTTACTTAAAATAGGATTGTAATATTTAAAATAGAATTATTGCATTTATTGCAGCATTTGTGTTCTTTAAGACCGGTTTTTCAATGATAGTTTAAACTTAGATTTTAACTTAAACTCTGTTTAAATAAGACAAACGCATTGTTAGAATAGAATTTAAACTTGAATCCAAGTTTAAACTGCTATTGAAAAACTGGCCCTTAATAAATATTAAACATTTATATTAATCATAACATTATATCGTGCAAATTCTGCATCGACGATATGCTATATTGTACTTTCACTATTCTACTAAATAGAGCGTGGCGTCTAAAAAAACTCGTGAGTTGTAAGAGTCACAATTTCACTCATCCAGTAAACATTCAGTACGTAGCCGTAAAACTGCTTGTATCATTCGTTGCAAGTTAAGTTCAAGATTATTAAGTGTTACTAATTCTACAACAATGTGTAGGAAATATAATCTTAAAATATTCTTTATACAAATAGTAACAGTAATACTTATTGTAAATTTTATTGCGGCCGGTTTATTGGAAAAACTTACAGAGAAAACTTCGAAAGGCAAGTAACACATTGTGCAACTCATAATACAATCGTTCATTACGTTTTGCATTGTTTATAATCAATCAGATTCGGATTTACAAACTGCGCACAAGACAGAAATTTCAAAGCAAGAGACTGCCGATATTTTGTCAACAGGACAGTATTTTCAGTGAGTAATAATAATATTTATTTGTTCAGGATGTAATAAATTTTATTTTTACGACTTTAACCTGATGTAATGCAGAGACATATTTTCTGAACATTTGACTCCTTTCAAAATTGAGTTTGGTCATGTTTGTGAAAATCCCATTGAATGGGAACAAAGATTTGAGCGAAGGGATTTTGACAACAATCGCCATAGTGGCAAGGTGATTACATTATTATTATTTTATTATTAGTTTTTTAACATAATCTATTTTTAATTAAAAAATGATGTGTTTTAGATAAAATGGGGCAACAAGAGAGGACATTACGGCGAACAGTATTGGGATTTAAATCACTAATACTGCAATTCTAGACAAAATTGTAAACCTCGTAATTTGTTCTCGTAAGACTCGTAAGAACTTATAAGTAAATCTGCAATTCTATGCGGACCGTATGTCATATGATAACTCGTAAATATCTATGATTCTTTTTTTGTTTTTTTTCATAAGCTATGACTTTACGATTTTACGATTTACTTGTATATTTGCTTAGAATTGCAGCATAAATTTTGCTAAGGGATTAATTGTTTATAAGTAATCAATATGAAATATTTTTATATACACAAAAATTATACATAATATTATTGCTATATCATTAGTTATCTATCTAATAAAAATGTAATAAACGTTTGCTTCAAATAGTACAATCAAATTATCCGGTTTCGATTTCGACAAGTGCAGAGCAGCCATTTTATAATCCTGGTATTTTACCAGGACTAAAATGTAGAGACTGAGTCCAGTAAGCAAGAAATCATTAATACAACGTTGCTACAATAATATTGAAAAACTTGTAATATTGTCAAATATATAGTGTTTAATATTGTATCAAACATTATTATGAACATACTTTGACCGCGATTTGGAAGTTTCAATAATGTTGAAATAGAGTTGCTATAACGTTTTAATTGACAGGAATATTTTTAAGACGTTGCATTGATCTCAAATAAATAAATAACATTTAGAAAATATTTTTTTTGTAATGTCTTTAAAACATTTAAACAACATTCAGAAAAATCATACCACAAAATAACATATGAAAAATATAAATGCAATATTATTAAAAAATGTCCAAACAATGTACATGAAGTCAATATTTCTAAATGTTAATTTAATGTTCTTTGCTTACTGGGAGCCCATCTAGAAGTGATCATTCTGTCGTGCGACAGACATTTTCGCATCCTGTATGCAGAAGCCATATCTTATTCTATACACGATAAAACTTTAGTTATAATGTACTCTGTTCTTTTAGTTACACTGCTGAATTGGCAAATTAGAATGCAAGAAGTTAAAATGAGAAAAAATATACACACTAGTCTCATTTTAATTTATTGCACCAGTTCAACAGTGCAGTCTGTTCAAAAAGAACAGACTAATGGTATCATCAATCTTGCTATCCAGCGAGAAATGACTCGTCGATCGACGAGTCATTTCTCGCTGAGTATGCCATTGCGAAATACGTTATAGCTCCGTTAGCAGTAGCAAAGTAATTTCAAAACGACACTGCAATGACGTTATTTCAATAGTACTGTTAATAAAAACGAAATACAGCCTGTATAATCGCAGAAAATTAGACCCATTATTTTTGTCTTTATTACACTTAAAATGTCCTTTACTTCACTTTATACCCGTCATGCTTATTAGATCCGCGTGTTACGTACATTAGTTTTAAAATCTCCGCTACGAGCCACCACCGTACTTATTGCAATTGTTCACAAATTCGTGGAGTATAACTCAAGTGTATTTTTATTTTCGAATTTTACCATTTAACAGAGTAAGTAAAAAGACTATTATTTAAAAATTTTTACTATTAAACTATTTTTACTATTAAACAGCTAATCAAAAGATTCCTTTACTTTCAAGTAGTACTATTTAACGTCCCGATAAAAAATTTTTCATGCATAATTATATATAAAATTTGTCCATACATAATTATGTATAATTATATATAATAATATAAAATTATATATAACTATATGTAAATAATAAATATAATAATATAAAATTACATATAATTATATACAATTATGTATAACTATATGTATAATTACATATATTTGTATGCGTAATTATGTAAAATTATATATGAAATTCTGTATAAAGTTATACATGATTATATATAAGTAACATATATGGGTAAATTTCATACATAATTGTATATAATAATGTAAAATTATATATAATTTTACATAATTACGCATACAAATATATGTAATTATACATATAGTTATACATAATTGTATATAATAATGTAAAATTATATATAATTTTATATAATTTGATATAATTATGTATGAAAAATTTTTTATTGGGGTCAGATAAACTTTTATTTTATTATGAAAAATACACAAAATTCAACAAGCTATAACTTTAGGACTAAAGTGATGATAGATTTTAAACGATAGAACTCTACTTAAATAAACTTATTATTATTTTTACAGAAATTACAATTCATTGAACTTTGCTTATTTGTTAAAAGTAGTGATTAAAAGAAATAATATCTTTTTATATTTTATATACATATCTCTTTTAATTTACAATTTTAATTAACAATTTAATTTAATTTAAGTTTAATTTTAATTTACAATTTTAATTATATATTAATAATATTTAGGAATATCTTGTGGTTTAAAATTTATGGTGTTATCAACCATACCATAAACATCCTTGAACATCAGCATCGGTGGTTCAGTGGTAGAATGCTCGCCTGCCACGCGGGCGGCCCGGGTTCGATTCCCGGCCGATGCAAAGTTTCTTTTTGTTCCCTTTAACTACTGTTTTTAATTGTTTAAATAATTTTTTTAAATTATTTATACACAGACATAGCATATTTCTTTTGTAAGATGCAAATAATCAAATCTTAAAAGAAAATATAAACGGTTGCGTTGGCGTATCATAAATACGTCACAAATAAATGTGAAATTTCCTTAAATAAGCTTCTGTTCTATGTTCTTAAACAAGCTTATGTTCTTTTATTATATTTCCCGTTTAATTAATGTATATAATATTCTAAATTTATGTTAACTAATTTGTTGAAAATTGTTTATATTATAAACAATTTCCTCATTAGAATTAGAGCAAAAGGAAAAGAAAGAAAAAAAAAGAATATGACATATGTCATATATTAAAAAAATAAAAGAGAAACTTGCATCGGCCGGGAATCGAACCCGGGCCGCCCGCGTGGCAGGCGAGCATTCTACCACTGAACCACCGATGCTTATGAAGGTCTTTTCCTCCAGTAACTTAATATAGTTACTGGATTTTAATCTGAAATTAGAATTTTAGGAAACAATCGATAAAAATCGCAAAGATGAACGACAAGACAAAATCGCCAGCTGTCCCGAATGAACCTCATGGAAGTCGTGAACAGATTAGCGGTCTTTCCAACATCCAGCTCGCAATTGAATGTAAAATGCCGCTTGACCTGCGCACGCAGGGGTCGCGATTTACTCGAGAAGAAGGTCGATGGTCTTTCGATTCGTTTTCGCGCAATTCTATCACGTTTGCTCGAAACCAAGCCGCAGCTCGGCGAAGTCATGAGAAACGCGGTCTTCTCGCTGGCCCAAGTTAATTACGTGACAGGTGGTATAAACGACCTGGTATTACAGACGGTCGACACGGCTAGCACGAAAATTCAATCCCGTCAGGAAATCATCGGTGGAGTTCGATTGCGGACTTATGAGCCCCTCTATGCCGGTTCTGATGCCTTTGAACTCGCTGGTCTGGCCAGAGGCGGTCAACAAGTGATTAACAAAGCATCATTAAGTATATCGCTAGCAGTAATCATTGAATATACATTTTCAACTTGTAACTTGAATTTGGTTGTAATATTATAAAAAACTTAAGACAGAGTACAGAAATAAACTCTGAGAGAGAGAGAGAGAAAGAGAGAGAGAGAGAGAGAGAGAGAGAGAGAGAGAGAGAGAGAGAGAGAGAGAGAGAAAGAGAGAGATTAACTGTTTCATATACTGAGAAAAAAATATTTGAAAATTTATTTGTGAGATATAAAATTTATTCACAGAAAAATTTATTTCAATTCAAATTCAGAAACAAATTTTACATTTCGCAAGTAAATTTTCGAGTATTTCTTCTCAGTGTACATGTCAGCAGGTGACTAAACTAAAGAAGAATTATGGCAAGGCGATCGAGCTGCTTATGGAACTGGCGTCATTGCAACACAATTTCCAGGTCCTCGATCAAGTGATTAAGACAACTAAACGTCGCGTGAATGCTCTTCGACACATTGTCATACCTCGATTAGAACGGACTCTCGCGTACGTAGCTACCGAGCTCGACGAGTACGAACGAGAAGAATTTTATCGGCTCAAAAAAGTGCGAGAACAAAAACTGAAGCGAAGTAAGATGATTTCACTTGACCGCGCGACACAAGATACAAATTCTATCTTCGATAACGCAGACGAAGATCTTCTCTTTTAACAACATCGCAGAACACGCGATAACACGTCAAAAGAACGCAATACAGCCTCAAGTAAATACAAGCTTTCAATTTTAATCGATCGCATAAATTCTTTATAAAGAAAGGAGAGACAGAGACAGAATCAGAATTAGAGTTAGAGTCAGAAACAGAGACAAACAGACTAACAAACAGAGAGAGAGAGAGAGAGAGGGAGAGAGAGAGAGAGAGAGAGAGAGAGAGAGAGAGAGAGACCTGCGTTGTGGCGACGCTATTGTTTACATAAGCCCGCGCTAATAAATTTTTCACCCTGCTCAAGCGAGAAACGAGAGAAAGGAGGATACCCTATAATAAATGCCAGGGTGCGCCAGACAAGCGAGGAGGAATCGCGAGGAAGCAATGAGAGGGAGAGCGAAATAGGGAAGGAGAATGAGAGAGGGGCCTGGGTTGTGGGCCCAATTATACCAAGAAAATACAGCCCATAAAGCCAGCCTTAACTGCTGCCAAACATCGGGATATGATAATGAGAACGTGACTGCTGCTGCTGCTGCTGCTGCTGTTCCCCCCTTCTTCTAATTTCACCGTTGGGTCCCGCGTATGTAAGGAAGAACTGCCAGAAAAACTTACTTTTCATACGGAAATGTCAAACGCCAAGCCTGTTAGGCATCCTGCGCGTCTAATATGTATTTAGTTACGCTGAATCAACATTATCTCACCGGTGGTGGTTTATTTTGAGGAATAACAATCTCCCCGTTGTTTGTAATGCATATGTCCGTTTGCGTTTACGTTTTCTGTAAGCGCATAGCTCTCCACAGCCGTAAATTAATTATAGATTCGCTATTTAAAAACGGATCCGACGAGCGCGAGAGTCGGAGTCGATGGAGCTGATCGCCTCGATTACTGCGCGCAAGGGAATACACACACACACCACACATGCATACCGCGCCGCACACGCGCGCGCAAAAGAGCACAAGACGGAAATTCTGCCGGGGAGGGAGAAGCCTGAACGCTCCAGACGAAGCGAGCAAGAAGAGGGGGGAATAAACAGACGTCGCGCTAGGGCGCGATCAGGCGTTCACGGTTCAGTCCACAGTCGAACGGAAACCTTAGGCGACGGAGGAGGTTGCGCGTTCAGCTCGATCCGACTATTTACTTTCACTCGCGATGTTTTTGCACGGTGCGATTGTTATGGTACACCTGACCGCCTGTCGTGACTGGACAATACAGTGGCGAGCACGCGACGTTCGCATGTAAAACCGCGCGAGTGATTATGCGGTCGTCTTTGTGATCGCGTATCCGCTGCTCTCCGCACGGCGGAGATCCCGGAGCTTGTGCTCCCGCGCTCATTTTGAACGCGAACGCGCGTGCCACGTGCCCATCGGATATATTGAGGTTAATTGCGTTATTTCAATCACACCGGTGCGTGCATGCGTGCGTACGTACGTGCGTGCGTGCCTGCGCGTGCGTGCGTTCGCGCGTGAATTCTTCGCAAACGGCACCTCTCGTTCGCGCGGAACCTGTGAGAAATGTGACTGTGTTTTCGTGAGCTTCTCCGTAGAAACTGAAGTTTGAACGTTGGAAGAAAACTAAGACGTTGGAAGAGAAAAAAGCCGTGTTAAAATAAAACGGATGTGAAGAGATCGAGAAGAACTGTTCCCTCTCCGCAAATTCGGATTGATTAAAACGAAGTTCATTGTTTAGTGGAGTTATTTGCTAGATTAATAACTCTCCAAAGTAATCGACGTTGCATTAAGTGTACCTTGTGTTATATGAACGCGTAAGTGAAATCAAGTTATCGCATCGATCTGTCTCCCGGTTGTTGTACCTCGATTAAGCTGAGAGCAAGCGGCCGCACTGGTCACGAAGAAGCCAATTAAATTAATCTCGTTTAATGTACAAGCGAGTTAATTAAAACACTCGCCGAGTCGAGATCGGATTTGACAGCTCGTTAAATGAAGCCGCGACGGGACTGTAATTAAGAGAAGGAAGAGAAGTTCCGGTTTAATGAAGGACAAAGTTAGATCTTTCATTTAAGAGAGGCACGTCTTCACATAACTCTTAATCGAATTTTGAATTTTCAATTAGTATTGAGACTTTTTTTCAATGCGTTATTGTATTTTTGTACATTTTGTTATATATTCTTTCGTTGATTTGGATTCACAATTAAAATCAAATTAATCGATTCAATAGAACTTGAAATCATATTTTATATGCACATACATTCATATTTGTTTCTATGTTTTATCTTCTATATCTTTTTTTTTTTAGAGTTTCGAGTTGAAGTCCCGCATAATGCGCGATCGATATCTCGATGATACATCGACTGATCGATCGACCTGCCGGAATATACAGTACAAATTACGAAGATAGAGCGATAGGGATTTTGTAAAAGTTTTTCATGCGGAAAATATGTATTGGATTTTGTTAGTTTTGATGTTGGTGCGTACGATATGGTGCGCTCATGGTGCCTGCGAGCCAATCAGAATCGAAATGTGCCGCGGTCTCGGCTACAATGTCACCGCTATGCCGAATCTGGTTGGCCACGAAATCCAGGGCGACGCTGATTTTACCCTGCAGACGTTCAGTCCACTCATTCAGTACGGATGCAGGTAAATAGTGTGCTTTTCTCATATACGCTGTACGTCGTAATTGTCACATTACTACTTTGCTTCATGACAAATAGATCCAAAATCGGTAGATAACGAATCTTTACGTGTGCAAAAACAATGTCACGATTGTTTGAATTATTTTTTATTATGACGGACTTTATATCAAATTGCGGAAATAATGTTGTATGGCGCCAACTTTAGTTTGTGTTTACTCGACCCGGTCGCTTTCAACGAAGATAAAAATGAAAGTATGTTGTTTTACCATTTACTGTTATAATAATCACGTGTTTTGCTTCTTAGCCATTCGGCGAGAAAAATTTTTCTTCAGTATTGCCACTTTAAATTACTATAAATTGCGATTACGTATAATACTGTTAGATAACAGACTTTTATTTCCTTGTTGTTTATCACGCGATAAAAAAGCTAATATGATGTTTCTAACTTATTGCAGTGCACAATTACATCTATTTCTGTGCTCGGTGTATGCACCAATGTGCACTGACAAAGTCACTTCACCCATTGGACCCTGTAGAGGTCTATGCGAGCAAGTAAGAGCTCGATGCTATCCAGTTCTTCAAGGATTTGGTTTTCCTTGGCCAGCTGCATTGAATTGTTCCAAATTTCCACCAGAAAACAATCACCATCACATGTGCATGGAGGGACCTGGTGAACCTGGGCCAGTTAATCCTATTCAAGTACATATAGTTTAAAATAGTTTAATCAAATGATTTAAATGATATTTATAGGACATTTTGTATAACTGAAGTGTTGACTATATATAGGTAGTTGTTATATTTTTAATTTTTATAAAATTTACTAAAAAATATGTTAGATTTTTTCATGTGTGTGTGAAGCAATAAATTTTAACTCAAAACTACTTAATTACAAAGTTCGACAGAATCAAAATAAAATTCAAAATTGTAAAAATATAAGCTATTTCTGGCTTGTATTTTTACTTCTGGTTAGATCTATAAGAAAATTTAAAAAAATATTTGGAGAAGCTTCTCTCTTTGAAATATCGCGTTTTTGTTTTCAAACTCGAATTCGCCGTTTTCAGACGGTGGGCGGCAGCAACGGACCTTGGGGCTGTTCCTGGTACGCCAAGTCCGGGTTATATATCTTCCTGAATCGTTCCGGAAGATGTGCCGCCGCTTGCGACGCTGATATTCTATGGTCCAAAAAGGACAAGAAACTCACAGAGGCCTGGGTGACTGTATTCACCACAGCATGCCTCGCCTCCGTCGCAGTCGCTATTCTGATTCTTCTGAAGCCGCGCAAACAACCGGTATTAACCACTACCGCAGGTGAGAATCTCTTTGCGAGATAGAAACGTTCTTACAAGTGAAATAACAAGAATACTCGTACGTTACTCTCTCCTTTGATCACAAATTTTTGTTTTTGATGATTTTCTAGATTCTCAGGACCTTCGAGTATTGTTACTCGATCGGTTTCTTGAGTGTTATGTAGTAATTTTGCCAAACTTATCTATGCTTTCGAGGACTTGGATTATCTTAAGTAATAAAAACAATCGTTTGTTCACAGAACGTGCAATAATCTTCTTGACAATTTGCCATGCGGCAGTCGCGATCGGTTACGTGATTCGATTAGCGGCTGGTCGTGTGAACGTCGCCTGTACATCCGCGATTCCGCTGCATCCACAGGATCAAGTAGCCTTAGCCCAGCAGCAACAACAACAGTACCTAACGCAAGATGGTCTAGCTAATCCTTACTGCGCTGTCGTGTTTCTGCTACTCTATTATTTCGGAAATGCTGCGATTGTCTGGTAAGTTTTTGTCCTTTTAATATTACAAACGATCATAGACTGTGGATTATCGTTCAGATTACTCTACAGTCTCTTAACTTTATTGGACACATGTATAAACAATACAAAATACTTCTTTGTTTCGTCTTTGACCTCAGACGGCTGTGAGAAATTTCAAGGGGTCTTTCCATTACTTTATTGTTTGACTTTAATCACATATGGGATGCGAGAACCGAAGGATACTCGCATGATGTTCGAAGTTGTCGGTTGTTGCAGAGCGCCTTGTTGCGCTCGCCTCGCTGTAGCGAGACTGCATCGTCGGAGGTAGGGATAACAATCTGGCAACAGTGTTGACTCCCCTCGTGCCGCTAACGAGCCTCTGACTCCCATCTCGTCCCATCCCATCCCATCCCGTTTATGCTGAGAGGCTCATCTTAACGCGTCTAACGGGTGGCATAAGCAAAAAATTGCCCGTCCGCGTGTTCGATGATACCACTACCGCTTGATGTAAAATTGCTTTATGGCCTATCGGATTTACGCCGACGAAGTAATCTCGGAATGTATTTTATAAGTATCCTCTTAACACGCGATAGGAACGCGAGTTTCTTCTATCACAAATTACAGAAATTTACGGAAAAGAAAAATTATGATTTCTCAAGTGTTCGTATTGCAAAAAAAGATTTATAGAGGATTATGCTTCTGGATTCTTGTCACTATTGAACTCTTAGCCTTTCAAACTTGATCCAAGAACCTAAAAGCTTCTTGACACCTAGGTCTTTGATATTTTTGATATTTTCAAACCCTCATTCTCACAAGTCTTAAAACCTTAGAACCTTTTTCAATCTTTACATCTTTAAATCTACAAATCTTTTGATCCCTGACTAAAGGGAGATCACCCGGTATATAAGGTGGGTCGAGAGGAACCTTGTTGCCAGATATGCATGGAGTCAATGGCATTCCATCTTAGAGAAAGCAAGCTGCTTCGTGAAGGAGGGAGAAAGGGCGAGAAAAGCAGAACGAGAGAGAGAGGCAAAGAGAAGGGAGACGAACACGGCGCTTCGGACCAAGTAAAGAACAAGATGATTCACAATGCATGGGCGCAATTTGCGGTTGCGACTTTGCAAATGAGTTTCGCGAATTCGATGGCCTCACGCTATAGATCTTCGGATTTGCGAATAATTTAAACGTGAATCCAGATAAAAGCCCATGAACTCGAAATTGAATTTCGCATTTTTCTTCATCTCGTTGATCGTTTCTTTCGATCTCGAATCTACGTACTTCCGTGTTTATTCCCGCTTCGAGATATTCACATACATTTCTCAATTCGCATCTTTTACATCCAGAAGGTTAGGAATTCGATACGCCGTCTTCGGTTAAAGCCAATTGCGAGGATCCGGCCCTGGACTTCGGGTCCCAGGTACTTTTGCGCACCGCGGTGTAGCGAACTGTGTAGCGTATGGCCATAATTTACATCGAAAGAGCCGATAAACATCGCGCCCTGCGGACACGAAGTCATGCACCATGGACCCATAGGGCCCTCGCAGCCCTCGCAGCCCTCGCCGTGCACACACACACACACACACACACATTGTCCTGTCTCGCTTTTTACCACTCTCCTCCCCTTCTCTAAATCTTTTCTAAACGTATGGAAAGTTTACACGGAAAGATCCGACTGTAAAGATGAGATTTCTACCCAAATAAAAAAAATTGCAACTCGTCGAGTCCTTGAACGTTTTCCGTATTTGCTCTTGGTCTAAAGTCGTTTTGATTATCTGTGCAAATTAGCAACTGATGAATCTTCTCGTTCTCCGCCTATATCCATTTTCCTTTAGACTTCAGTATATTAAAACCAGGAACTACAGACACATGCGCGTACACATTTGTGTGAGAATTTGGAATTGTATGTAAACTGCTATTTTTTTACAGCAACCCGGTATTAGTAGATTAAAACATTCGTAGACCGGTTAACGCTCTACTTTAAATATAAAGCACGACTCGCAGCTCTTGTTAGATCCTCTCATGTCCAGAGAAACGAATCGATAATCGGTGATGCTACGCCATTGACAGAGAGGATTGTACACGGGGCCCCATGGTGGTAGGTAGTCCGGCAGTTTCGTGTTTCCGTTTCTCTCTTTTTCTCTCCTTCCTTCAGTCCTTCCTCCCACCCTCCTTCTTCCGAAGAGTTTGACGGCCGTCTCAGGAACGAGGGAAAAAGGATAAGTTGAAAAAAGGGGCTCGAGGAAAGAGCTGATCCATCATCTCTCTCGCGGTGCCCAGCCGGGGCCTTAAGCTTAAGGACCCGGATCCGAGAATTTCTCGATAATTTATCCAAGATAAGAGCTCCACCGTCGATTGCGCGCCAGCGGAGAACAGGGAACCGAGGCCCCGTCAGGGCCGTCGGGACCCCGATAACAAGCCGCCGGCATTATCCGAAGCATCCTGCTCTCCGTCTGGTCTTCCGAGGAAGACGGAAGATCGTCCGTCTCGTCACTCACGTACAAGTATATCGGTGTGTCTATATATTGTAGTAAAACCAATCGCGAGATCTCCGCTTGAACCGAAGAATTCGTGATCTCTTTCTTTCGCAGACACGTTTCGAAAAGCGCGTGGTACGTGGCTGAAGGGCCTCGTAATCTTAACGACTAGTCAAACTTGTTTGCGCTCCTGCGTCGTACGTTCACGCAATAAGCTAGAGAACGGCGAGTTCGTTATCACCAACGAGAAAGATCCGGGATTTTTTCGTGGTCGCTCACGCGAGTTTCTCAATCCTGCCGATTACACGAGGATCGCTTGGTAAAAATAGGCTCGCGTGCATAAGTAGTTTCTTTACCATGAGAGTGGTTGCATCCACAACTGTAGTGACTCCTTAGCTTTTCCAAATTCGTTACGAAGCATGAAGACAGAGAATGAGAGACAGAGAGAGAGACGGAGACGAGGCAAAGTGTAGTTTGAACGGGAGGAGGAACGCGAGGAGGAGGTAACGTCGTGTATAGGGGGCCCGCGGGGTATATAATCAGCGAGATGAGATGAGAGGGGCACTAGCTACCTCTTGTTTGTTTTGTTAGTTAGCGAGTCGTTAGGTAGTCTCTCTCTTTCTCCTTTTTCCCTCCTCCCTCCGGAGTCGGAGTTCGAGTTGCACGGAAACTGCGAGTACTCCGACCACCGACCACCCAACTGTACCAGTGGTTACGAGAGAGAAGGGAGAGAAATCCCGTGCCGTCACGAGACTAATCGGTCGTATTACGCATACTTCGACGAGATTAAGCTCCTCGCAATCGCATTTAAATCATGTCGTGCCCGTGCCGCGAACGATTTTACTAAGTGAGAAAACGTTGGGCAGCTTCACTCACCTCTTTCTTGTATATGCATCCTTTTTCTCCCCCTCCCTTTTTTCCCTTTTGCTCCCGTGATTCTCGTCAAACCTCTCAACTTTCCTTCAATCCGGTGTTCTTCTCAATTCGCAAAGCCATCGGCAACATCCCACGAGGTGTTAACGCGTCCTTTTAGAGTTTTTCTTCCCTCCCCTTTTTTCTTATCGGCGTTCCACGAACGCAAAAAGTCAATCGCGCATCGTGCGTCACGCGTGTGCACCGCGTCACTCCATTCATCACATCGCACGACCGGAATTCGTCGAGCAAGTTTTTGCTTTTCCAGAGGGACAGCGCGAGAAGTAGAGGAGGAATTAGCGAACCGGCCGAATCTCGCTCGATTGCATTAATCCCCCTCCTCTACGTTCATAATTTCAAGCTTCTTTGTTGTTCGGCCCAACAAGGAATCTCTTAATAGAGACATCAAACTCAACGCTCCCAAAGTACCTTTTTTGTTTTTTGCAAGAGAGGAAACAATGACATCTTCCAAAGCGGTATTTAAAAAATATGTCTATAGGAAATGCGGGTATTCGTCACTTTTCTATTACGTTCTCAGATGCATCACGATGAACGTGCGAGAACCACATGTCGGTAGATCCGTAGATCGTGTAGATCCGCGCCAAGAGACACGGCTACCGTCGTCCACTCGGTAAATACTGGTGTCGGCAAACATTCGAAGAGAAGTTGGCTACCTTGTAAAACTGGTTTTCAGAAGTTCACTATGAAATCCAAAGAGTAAAGTCAATTCATGTGTTACAAATGATGATAAATTTGTATTTTATTATTAGAATAATATTTTAACTATTAATAATTACTATTTCAAAAACAATATTAAACTTATATATATTATGTACTTATCTTTTTATATAAAAATTTATAGTGTTATATTAATTGTTCGTGTCGACTTCTAGATACCGTCTATCTTATTTAACTTCGCAATGAATGCGTAAATACAAATTTATAGTACAAATTATTTGGAAGGAGCGACGAATCGGTCGACACGCTGAGAACCGTTTCATCTCGAAACCTGAACGAACAATGGTCCAAAAGCGTGTGTGTACGTGTGCGCGCGCTGCTGTGTATATTTTGTGTGTTGGTCGCGTGAGAGACAGAACGCGTCTTCGCACCAGCATGCGTCGTTGCACACGCACGTGCAACTGCACACCGCAATAGCTCCCTGCCGACTATAATCCGTCCCCCCTCCCCCCCCCAGCCAGCAACCAGTCTGTCGAGAAAGCGAGTTGCAGTGAAAAGCCGACTAATTAATCACGCGAGTCTTCGACAAGATCGAAAAGCAGCGAACAGGTCAAACGAGGCGCAAACACTCTCGGCCGCCTCGTCGTGTCACTCCATCTCACTCTCGTGCACGTTCTTACCGCGTGTAGTCACCTTCGTTCCTTTCTACGCGCCTCCTTCCTTCTTTTATTCGAGTTGTAAGCTCCCGCAGGGCCGTATAACCGACTCGTAGTCTATCTTTGGAGGCACGGTCAAGAGAAAGAATTCGGACGACGTCACCACGTGTTAGACTTCTTTATCTCTTGCTATATTTCAATTATTATGTCCCTCTTGAAATTCGTCCTGACGTCGCTTAAACTTTCGCTTCCAAAACTATAGTACAATCGAACGAGTCGCTGCTGCGAATAACTTAAGAGTTTCTCCCTGTTATTCGATACGATTTGCGATCGCAGGTGGGTCGTGATATGCGCGTGGTGGTGCATAATGGCCAGAAAATGGACGAGGACGGCCAGCAACTGCAAGGAGGATGGTTTCGGACCGCAACAGGGATTCTCAACCATCGCCGCGGTTGCGGCTTGGGGTCTGCCAGCCGCGCATACTATCGCCGTCCTGGTCACGAGGGACGTCGACGCTGACGAGTTGACCGGTAGGTTATCCCATCAGATCCTTTGACTATGGGGAGACAGAAAGAGGGTTCTATCAAATCCTGGGTCTGCTACATTCTTCTTCTTTTTTTTTTACCCTTTTTACGTTGCGTCTACGTTTCCGATGCCCTTCGACTTTGCTCACGAATATTAATTCTTCGATTGAATTCTTGGATTTTTAAGCTCGCTTGAGACCCAGCATTTGTCCAAGCTAATAGCGCGCGCGCAATCTTAGAACTCGCGTTGGTCAGCCTCTAAAAAGAGTGCCCGGAGGGCTTTACGACCACGCCTCGTTATACCGTTTGTTTTATGAGGTTGCTCCATTGGCGTAGTTGGATCCGCGGAACTTGCTTGATTCGCGATGGATCTCTTCCTCTTTCCAGTCTCCGGTAATTGTTTTCTTTTTTATCCCCATCCGCCCGGCTATCTCTATTCGTCTATCTATATATCTACATCTATCTGTTCTTGTCTCCTCCTCTCCGTCTATCTTAATTCGTGCAATCCAGCTGAGACTACCTTATGCTAATACCCGCCGCTCTCTCGTGTTTATGTTCCCGATAAATTATGCTCGAAGGCAACCAGCCGAGATTAGCATCTTTGAATTAAACGACCGGGCCCGCGGCAACGGCGGTATAACCTTCGGTTACTTTTACAACCACTATACTTATTCCCGAATTGAATAAATGGTAGATGTGAGTAAATACTGTACAGTATATTATAATGTTAATTATCAGTTTTAAAGAACATGTTATTTCTGGCTTATTGGACTTATCTCATCGTTGCTGAAATTATCTACAATTGCTCTCCGCTCTGAATTATAGTATATTTATACACGCACGCACGTGCACGATGTTCATCACCGCGGTATTTTTCAGTTACAGACAATGTGAGGGAAGAAAATAAAATTGGGTCGATTAGGTTGATTCGTGGATCGCGAAAGGAATGTCAGCGATGCCTTCCGCCGACAGCACGTTGGATCTACCGCATTCTTTCTCTCTCTTGTCGGCTAAAAATTCTCGCAACGTATCAGAGAGGAGCAAGAACGAAATCCTTTCACACGCGTTCTCCGATATATAGCGCCTTGTTATCCGGACATTCATATTGCGAATTGTATCGTAAATTGTGTTTTTACGAGATACAATGTTATTCGGACTTTTAAACGTTTTCTTGCAGCGACAACACGCAGCAACATGCAATATCCGTAAACGTCTGAGGTTCGCGGTACTTGCCTTGCAGAATTTACATATCCTCGTATATGCAATCGAGACAATTTGCTGGTGGCATTTCGAGAAGTTACAAAGCCATCCGCATGCGCGCGCGCGTAAGGGAACAAACCCGGTTAGTCGAGGTCCTTTCTCTGTCTCTCTAGCAGGAGAGGCGACATTCAATGCAAATACCTTCAAACTTGCCCCGCAACTTGTCACTGTCCACTGATAGGGCCAATAGCCAGCCGGGGCTTTAAGGCTTGGATCTTCGCACAAGGGTTTTTAGTCGGATTCCCTTAAATTAGATCTCTCGGATTTTACATCCTGCATTTCGATACTAAAGAGACATCAGAAGCCGAATAACATTCTCTTCCACGCGATCATACTTTTCTTTATATTTTCCTTTTTAACTACATACTTACGTATCTATATATAAATGCATAAATGTTTCAAAACTTTCTCCGTACTGTACTATTTTTTTCTGTTGCAGCTAGTTGCTTCGTCGGTCAGCAGAACACGCATTCTCTGCTCATGTTAGTATTGGCGCCTCAATTCGTCTACTTAATGTTCGGCACGATGTTTCTGTTGGTCGGTCTGGCGTCGTTGATGTTACCGCGACGTCCAGCAGTGACGCCCACCACAACATCAACGTCGTCATCGTCCTCTTCATCGTCGGCAGCGGCGGCTCTAACCGCGTTAGCGGCGTCTCACGCGAACCCGTTGATGCGTACGCACCAGCGCGAGATGTCCGGCAAATCGTCCCCGGCGGAGATCCACCGGCGTCAGAAGCAGCTATTGACGCGTGTCGGCATATTCGTCTGGCTCTACGCCGTCCTGATGATCTGCCTGGCCAGCACGAGTTTTTACGAATGGTGGGGAAGGGAGACGTGGCTGCGAGCGCCAGAACCGTCGACGACGCCACGCGTACCCTCCCGGCCTTTGCTGCAGGTTTTCGTGCTGCGATTAGTGGTGACTCTCAGTGCCGGCGTCATGACTGCCGCGTGGATCTGGTGGCCCGAGGCGGCGAGTATGTGCCGCAGGATATCGCACTGTAAACAACCGCCGCGCAAGTGCCATCCAGTGCCGGTTATGCATTGTTACAGCGCTGGAACTGCCGCCAGTCCCGTGCCGCATCAGATTCATCATCTGACTCATCTGACGCCGCCGCAGCAGCATCCTTTGCTGCATCAGCACGCCATCACAAATCCGCAGATACCACACAGAAATTATAAGAAGCATCGAAAGCATCGAAAACATCATTCGGGCAGCGAGACGCAAGTCTGAGCGAACGATGCGCGCGTCAACGTATACCTCATGGTTTACGTAACTCCTCGCTATTCGAGTGCCTTAAACGTTATCATTTTATTAAGGTCCTTTTACAATGGCCGTAACGATATAACTGTAAGTCCGTAAGAGGCGATTGTAAAAACCTGTTTTTGATGTAGCAAGACGTAATGTAAATTGTAAGTTGAATTGTTTTCATTTCTTACGCTTTGCGGTCGACCAATCAAGACAGCATAAGATTGCGCATACAATAGATACTTTATCCTGATTGGTCCATCTTACATTTTATAGCAAACTATTGTAGATAGCATTGTTTTAAGAATATTAAATTATATGACTATAAATTAAATGCTATATATGCTAAACTTATATAGCTATATTGTTACTGTTATTGTTGAAGGACCTTTACGCTCTACGATATGGCACGACAAACGATACGAACGTATTGTCGTATATATCCTTTGGTTTGCGTCAATATGCGCGCGAGAGTTAAAGTCATCCGATATAATCTAAGTTATTTAGCATTCTTATCACATCGTTCATTCGATAATCCTTTTTCTCAAATGTTCTCAATTTCTTCCCATTCTACGGTAGCTGTTATGATACATAAATTTAATAGAAGTTCCTCTCTTCAATGGAAGACAGAATGACTCATCAAAGATACCTTCGCTAATGTGTTATCATGTTATTCGATAGTGAGTGATATTAACATTTCATTTGCATTTTTGTGAAATTTAGAAAATTTACATATTTTATAATGCTATATTGCGTGTTTTATAATGCTGATGCGAGTTCGGTGCCGTTGAACGAAACGTTCGTGGACAATGAGAAAACGGCGGATGCTAAATTTAGACATCGAAAAATGATGGAACAGTACAATCAGAAGGGAAGAGTGCATTTATTTCGGTCTTTGCCCTCCTATTTGTGCGGCAGCGTTATTATGTAAACGCACGTACCTGCATAGACCATGGAACAGTTATCGTACTGCATTTTTGCAATATATAATAAATGAGTCCTAGTAAGAGTCTGGATACCTCGGACTTCTTACTGAATGGTCTAAAATAGCGGATCTAAGGATTATCAAGTAAAGAAACTCTTAAGTCCCATTTTACAATAGGTATTTTAAGCCTTATTCTTTAAGCTCTAAATTGTGATGTATTTCCTATCTAAAGCTTTTTCACTGCCCTGAGCCCTAATCCCTAAGCCTTAAGCTAAATCCCATCTTTTAAAGCTTAGCAAGAACATGGGGCTTAGAACTGATATAATTTCTCTAAAGCATAAAGTTTAGAGTTTAAAACACTTATTGTAGAATGGGACTAAAAATTTAGAAATAAAAATTTCTTCTGTAGAAGAAATCGTTATTTTAAGGTGGAAGATACATATGAAAAAAATTAACTTTTTAGAAATTAAAAAAATTATTTTTATCAATACTATTACAAATATATATATATATATATATATATATATATATATATATATATATATATATATATATATATATATATAGAAGGATTTCTTTTAGAGATTAACTTGAATCGAGCCAAATAGGTAAAACAAACACTACGTTCATAAAAAAATCAAACGAATCCAGACTCTTATTTTATTCTAATGTGCAACACTCGACAGTGCGATTTTTGTCCATTCTTAACCACTGCCAGGAAATAATTTTTACTCCGTATATTGTGCCAATTTTATTCTCTATTGTATTAACATACTCTCTTCGCCTTACCCTCGTAAAGAAGTTACGCGTGGAATATTTTAGATAGCCAGTCACATTACGGAGCAACATTGCTTTTCTTGACGACGTATTTTATTGATTTTATTTTAT